TTAAACCGTTATGGTAAATTTGGATAGGTAAATATTTCCTAGTCCCAGAATAAGTATTTATTTTATACCATGTACTTGAATGATGCAAGTCTGAGTAGAAGCAGAGATCTGTGGCAATCTGAATTCATTCACCAGGACTTCATCCTTATTCTTTCTGCCAATGGGAACACCTTCTAGAATTGCAGGTGCAAATGCTGCTTCATCCAAGTAAGAACTGTCTTCATCAGCCAGAAGCTCATCACCCAGTACATCCAACTCTGCTTCCAGGTCATCTTCATCTAACTCTGGGGTGCTATAAGTATGACTCAGTGCTTCTTGGATTTCATTTGCATCTTCCATCATATCCTCTAGCTTGTCTAGTAAATCCTCAATCTGGCCAATTTTCACTTGCTTGTAGGCTTTCTTCATTTCCTTTACTCCCAGTTTCATAGCATCAACCATAGTCTTGGTGTCCTTCAGTGACTGGATGGTGTAATTGGCTTGTTCCATGTTAAATGACTGTTGGGTGAGATTATCCTGCTGCTTGTACATCCACTTTTGCTTTAATACCCATGAGGCTTTCTGCTTGACCATATTCTTTGAAGGACCCTCTTTCATCTTCTTGATCTGATCTTTATACTTCACTAGCTCAGCATCTTTGAGCAAGTTGAGAAATCTTGTCAATGCTTTCTGCTCTGCTGTCCACCATGCCAATGCAATCAGTCAGGCTGGGTGGCAGAGCCTTGGGTTTCACTTTCCCAGAGATTTGGTTCATCTTGACTGGCCCCAAAACTTTGTTATTACAGCAGGAAAAGCAGTCACTTTTGGAAAGAGAATGGGGACAGGAAGAAAAGCCCATGGGATACTCTCTGGATGTCCGTGGATTTGCTGTATGGAATTGTAATATTAGTGTTGGGGTCAAGAAGACAGGCTCCCGGGCCAGGAAGCCTGGGTTTCACTCTAGGTTTTGCCAATCGCCAGTTCTGTGACACAGAGAAAAAAGTTTGTAATCCCTCTGTGCCTCAGTTTTCTCTCCTCTAACATGAGTATGTGGTAGAGATAGTAGAACTCTCTGAAGATTTTTAAAACTTTTTTAACTTTTTTTATTGATTATGTCATTACATTTGTTCTATTTCCCCTCCTCCATTCCCCTCCACCCTGTACACCCCTCCCCCACCATTCTCCCCCTTTAGTTCATGAACACGAGCCTCAAGTTCTTTAGATTCTATACTTCCCCTACTATTCTTGCCCTCCCCCATCTATCCTCTATCTACTGTCTATGCTACTTATTTTCTGTACCCTCTCTCCCCCCGACTCCCCTGCTGCCAACCCTCCACGTGATCTTCATCTCTATGGTTCACTCCTGATCTAGCTGTCCTCTTAATTTGCTTTTGTTTTAGGCGTGGTTGTTAATAAGTGTGAGTTTGCTGTCCTTTCACTGTTCATATTTTTTATCTTCTTTTTCTTAGATAAGTCCCTTTAACATTTCATACAGTAAGGGCTTGGTGATGATGACCTCTTTGAATTTGATCTTATCGGAGAAGCACTTTATCTGCCTTTCCATTCTAAATAAAAACTTTGCTGGATAGAGCAATCTTGGTTGTAGGTTTTTGGTTTTCATGACTTGAAATACTTCTTTCCAGCCCCTTCTTGCCTGTAAGGTCTCTTTTGAGAAATCAGCTGACAGTCTGATGGGAACTCCTTTGTAGGTGACTGTACCCTTATCTCTTGCTGCTTCTAGGATTCTCTCTTTCATTTTAATCTTGGGTAATGTAATGATGATGTGCCTTGGTATGTTCCTTCTTGGGTCCAACTTCTCTGGCACTCTCTGAGCTTCCTGGATTTCCTGGAAGTCTATTTCCTTTGCCTGATTGGGGAAGTTCTCCTTTATTATTTGTTCAAATAAGTTTTCCACTCATGGCTGTTCCTCTTCCCCTTCTGGTACCCCTATAATTTGGATGTTAGAGCGTTTAAAGATGTCCTGAAGGTTTCTGAGCCTCTCCTCATTTTTCTGAATTCTTGTGTCTTCATCATTTTCTGTTTGGTCATGTTTTTTCCTCTTTCTGGTCCACTCCTTTGATTTGAGTCTCAGTTTCTTTTCCATTACTATTGGTTTCCTGTGCATTTCTCTTCATTTCAATTAGTTTAGCCTTCATATGTTCCTCTAATTTGTGACTATAATCAACCAGTTCTGTGAGCATCCTGATCACCAGTGTTTTGAAGTGTGCATCTGAAAGTTTGGCTATTTCTTGGTTGCTTAGATTTATGGGCTCTGGGGCTCTGAGTTGTTCTTGAGCCATGTTTTGATCTGTTCGTGCCTGTTAGGTATGAGAAGAGGTGCCTTGGTGTTTACCAGGGCGGGTCCACCCAGGTCGCAGGTTTGTGACGCTGTATGTGGGGGTGGGGTCAGAGAGGGAGCAATGGCGGTCCTCTCCACTACCCCAGTCCACCTCACTGCTGGCCCCCGCCTGCTTATCTGAGCGCAAATGTGCGAGTCTGCCACCCTGCGCCAGTCGCTGGGGCCTGTGAGATCTGTCTCAACACTCACCTCTTCACTGGTTTATCTGCATGCAAATGCACGACCGACTGCAGACAGCCAGCAGCGCCTCTTCCCTGGGTTCTGCCCCGTAGCTCGCCCGCACCTGAGATCTGCACCCCAGGCTGCCTGTGCACCGCCCAGATCTCTTTTGCCCGACTGGCTCCGCTGCTGGTTTCACCCCTCTCACTGGTTTAACTGAGTGGTCCGTTGTTTCTGGACTCAGTATTCTATTTTCTGTGTGGTGTGGTTGTGTTTATTGTTGTTAAAACTTTATTGTTTTTAGATTTGGTTGTGCGAGGATGAAAAGTGTTCCCACCTACGCCTCCATCTTGGCGGAAGTCCCCTCTCTGAAGATTTTATGCACACTTTCTTTCACTGCCAGGTTTCTCTTATAGTAAGAATGAAGCCACTGAATTCCAGTTCTGGTCAGTGAACTTTAGTTGAAAGTGACACGTGTCACTGCTGCTCATATCTACCCTGAAGTGCCTACAGAGCATTCATTTGTTCAGTAAATATCTGATGGGCACCCTCTAGGCATGGATATTGCTTTGAACATATCAGACAAAGTTACTGCTCTTAAGGAGTTTATAGTCCCATGATAGGGAGGCAGAAGAGTACAAGCAAAAAATCAATTAAATGGATAAGAGAATTTCAAATGGTAACAGGTGCCAAGAAGAAAATAAAACGAGGCAATATAACAGTCTGACTGGGTGTGCAGGTGGTGACTAAGGATATCCTCTCTTAGGAAGTGACATTTTGAGACTTTAAGGAGAAGGAGCCAGCCATGCAAAACCATGGGTAAAGTATTCCAGGCAGGAGGTGCACCAAGTACAAAGGAGACTGAACATTTCAAGGAATAAATCAAGGCTGGTGTGGCAGATTACTGAGTGAGGGACATGAGGCTAGGGTCAGAGACAAAGGCAGGAGGTAGACCACAAAGGAGAGTCGTTTTGGCCATAAGGAGTTAGGATTCTGTTTGAAGAGTGATGGGGAGTCCTGAAAGGATTTTAAGAGAAAAGAAACATAATTCAAGATTAAATAAGTAACTAATTCCCTTGGCTACTTAACTTTAAAATAAAATAATATGGAAAAGTAGATGATTCAGAAACACAACGATTGGACTGGTATTTGGGAGAGCTCGCTGGCAGTCCTGTGGAGGAGCACTGTTGAAGGGCACGCTTAGCTGCGGGGCTGCAGCAAGGAGGCTGCTGTGATGGCCTGAGCTTTGATGGTGGCTTGGGCAAGCTTGACACTGGAAGACTGGAGAAGAGGGCAGACATGGGATGGCACTTTGAAATACTATTTGGAGGATTTACTGATGGTTTTGATGGAGGAAATGAAGAAATAGAGGAATTAAGGATGACTTTCTCAAGAAAAATAAAGTATCTAGGAATAAACCTAACCATGGAGGTAAAAGACCTATATGCAGAAAACTACACAACACTGAAGAAAGAAATTGAGGAAGACACAAACAAATGGGAACATACACTGTGTTCATGGATTGAAAGAATTAACATAATCAAAATGTCCATACTACCCAAAGCAATTTACACATTCAATGCAATACCTATTAAAGTACCAATGGCATATTTCACAGACATAGAACAAACACTTCAAAAATTTATATGGAACCATAAATGACCCTAAATAGCTGCTGCAATTTTGAAAAAGAAGAGCAAAGTAGGAGGGATCACAATATCTGATACCAAACTGTATTACAAGGCCACTGTAATCAAAACAGCCTGGTACTGGCATAAAAACAGGCACATGGACCAATGGAACAGAACAGAGATCCCAGAAATAAACCCAAGTCTCTATGGTCAATTAATATTTGACAAAGGGGGCAGCAACATAAAATGGAGTAAAAATAGCCTCTTGAACAAATGGGTTGGATTTGGACTTCTGGCCAAGGTGGAGGCATAAGTGGAAATACTGTACCTCCTCGCACAATCAAATTTAAGGACAACAAAGATTTAGAAACAAAAACACAACCAGAACAGACAGAAAACTGAACTGTACCGAAGTCCGACAACAACAAATGGTTCGTCTAGACCGGTAAGAGGGGCGAGTCGGTGGCCAGTGGAGAGGGTCCTGGAAGGAAGAGGCTGTGGTTAGCAGAACTGGGTGCAGGGAGGTAATGAGAAAAGAAAACCCATTGAGGTGTGCAAGGAGGTTGGCTGACCTTGGACACACATTTGAGCACAGATAAACCAGGCAAAAAAAAAAAGTTCAGTGAGATAGACTGCACAACCCAGGGCCCCAGTGACAGGAAATAAAGCTTAAAAGCATGAATTGAAAACACTTTCGAGGTTTGACGTGCTGAGAGAGGCTCCCAGCCTCACAGGAAAATTTTTTGGAGAGACCTACAGGGTCCTAGATCGTACACAAGCCCACCCACCCGGGAAACAGCACCAGAAGGACCCAATTTGCTTGTGGGAAGCGGCAGAGGGGACCAAAATCTGGGAGAGCAGAATAAGTGCCATTACTCCCATTCTGACCTCACCCCCATATACAGCTCACAACCCAGCAACTGGGTTGCCCCACCCTGGTGAACACCTAAGGCTTCACCTCTGTTTATGGCTCAAACAGAAAAACAGATCAAAGCCCCAGAGCCAATACTTTTAAGCGACCAAGAGATAGCCAACCTATCAGATGCACAGTATAAACCACTGGTGATCAGGATGCTCATAGAACTGGTTGATTTTGGTCACAAATTAGATGAAAAAATGAAGGCTACACTAAGTGAAATGAAGGAAAATGCACAGGGATCCAACAGCGATGGAAAGAAAACTGGGATAACATCAGTGGAGTGGAGCAGAAGGAAGAAAGAAAACAACCAAACAGAAAAGAATGAAGAAACAAGAATTCAAAAATGAGGAGAGGCTTAGGAACCTCCAGGACATCTTTAAACGTTCCAACATCTGAATTATAGGGGTGCCAGAAGAGGAAAAGGAAGAGCAACAAGTGGAAAACTTATTTGAACAAATAATAAAGGAGAACTTCCCTTATTTGGCAAAGGAAATAGACTGCCAGGAAGTCCAGGAAGCTCAGAGAGTCCCAAAGAAGTTAGACCCAAAAAGGAACACACCAAAGCAAATCATAATTACATTATCCAAGATTAAAATGAAGGAGAGAATTCTAGAAGCAGCAAGGGATAAGGGGACAGTCACCTACAAAGGAGTTCCCATCAGACTCTCAGCTGATTTCTCAAAAGAGACATTACAGGCAAGAAGGGG